CCAGCAGTCCCAGCCTGGACGCGGCCTGCCGCTCACGCGCCGCCGCAGCGGCCGCAGGACCAGAGGCAGGGTGGCGCGCGACCAAGAGGCGAGGAGCAGCAGCGCAGCGAAGTGGCTACATCAAGACAAAGCCTGCAGACCAACCAACCCTGAGTGCACAAGCAGCTGCCCGCGGGCGTGTACTGCGCGGCGCCAGAGGCCGAGCGCCAGATGGGCAGACAGCAGAGGCGGCGACTGGGGGGCATACCGCGGAGAACCGAAGAGGGCAGAAGCTCGGAGAATTACTGCTAGCGGCAGGCAGCCTTGCGCAAAGCGCGAGTGCCAGCACCGAGGCAAGCGAAAAGAGAGATCACCATGCTGAATTCCGGCGAGCAGACAGATACATCATATGCGGAGGACTGGCCCGCAGGCAGGCTCACTCAGATTGGGAAGCCCCGACCCCGGCCTGCCCAGGTGGCTCTGCACCTCGGAGGGCGCGCGGGGCAGGCTGCGCACCGACCCTGGTGCCGCACACGCTGCCGCGCACGACCTGATCGCTCCTGCTCGTCGCCCCTGCCGCGTCGTCGGCGCCCGAAGGCGAGCTCGCCCAGCGAGCGCGCGTTGCCTGGCCTGTGGGGCAGGATGCTGGGGCAGGGCAGGGCCACCCCAGCTCCGCGGCAACGCGGACGGGGAGCCACGGCTGCCACCGGAACCACCGCCGCCGCCAGGACCTCCCACGTGAGCTTCGCGAAGGACAGCTGCCACGCGGGCTCGTTCTCAGTGCGCATCATCATCATCATCATCATCATCATCATCATCATCACCATCACCATCATCATCATCATCATCATCATCATCATCATCATCATCATCATCATCATCATCATCATCATCATCATCATCATCATCATCATCATCATCATCATCATCGTCATCGTCATCGTCATCATCATCATCAGCATCATCATCACGATCGTCATCATCAGCATCATCAGCATCATCATCACGATCATCATCATCATCATCATCAGCATCATCATCACGATCATCATCATCATCATCATCATCATCATCATCATCATCAGCAGCAGCAGCAGCAGCAGCATCATCGCAATCGCCATCGTCGTCCTCGTCTTCATCGTCGCCGTCAACATCAACAACGGCTACCTCGTCGACACGTTCATCATCTACCATCCTCATCGTCAGCAGCACCGTCAGACTGATCCCAGACATCGTCGTCACCGTCATCCTCCGGGGCGCAGCCAGCAGAAGCGGCCGAGGATGGGCCAGAGGGGAAGGATGCTAGGGTAAAGTTGGAAAGTCGCTCATCCTTACTGTGCGGGTTGACTGCACAGCCCCCCCCCCCCGCCGGCCGTGGCTGTTCTGCAGCGCCCGCTGACGTCCCGCCCGACCCCGAACGCCCTTTTCCTGGCGGCGCTAGCCGGCAGACGCCCGCGGGTCCATTAACACCGTGCTGGACGCCCGACAGTGCCCACGCGCGCCGACGGTAACCGGCGGAGGGTCGCGAGAGGCGTCCTCCACCCCCCTCGGGCCCCTTCCCCTCGTCCTCATCCTCCTGAGGCTGGCGGCTTACGAGTTCGTTCAGACCTCTTCCTCCTCCTCCTCCTCCTCCTCCTCCTCCTCCTCCTCCTCCTCCTCCTCCTCCTCCTCCTTATCATCATCCTCCTCCTCATCCACCTACATTCCTTTTCCTTCTAAACAACTTCTCCGTCTCGTACCCGAAGGCCTGATTTTAGGGCGGGCTGGGCGCTTAAGCGCCGCGCACATTCGTTTGAAAAAAATGCAGGGCTTCGGTGGAGCTCCCAACGGGGCCACGAAACGCTGCACTGGGTGGGTGAAACGCAGGGAGGAGGGAGGAGGGAGAGGATGAAGGAGGCGGGTGGAGGAGGAGGAGGAGGAGGGGGAGGAGAACGCGGGACGCCGTCTCTTCAAAACTATGACCCAACACCACAGGATGGTTGGGAATAAATGCAACAACTCTACGGATGGAGGACGGATCGTTTTTCAAATGTGGCTCTCTATCTTGGCGCCGCACACATTTGTCATGGAAAGTGCAAAAGTCTCACGGATAGAAGGCGGCTCCTTTTCAATGTGTGGCTCTCGCCGTAGCGCTGCGCACAATCGTTCTTTCAGTGGAAAACGATCTCTTTGGTTCTCATGGTCAACGAGCCAGTCATGGTGTTTTGGCACGATGTCGGACTGGCAGGGCGCGACAGATGGTGTTTTTGCACGGTTCTGTTTCGTCAAGACGCAACAATAATGGTGATTTGCGGCATTGAAGTCTCATGAACGGTGTTCTGGCACAGTTCTGGAATGTCACACGACTGTTTTCTAACGGGGCGCTATCTTCAGTGAGACTGAATCCTTAGAGGGGCCTATGAAGAGGGAGCTTGGAGGAAGGATTAATTGCCATATCGTTAATGCGTCTTGGATTTACACGAATCCTCATCATTCTCATCCTCCTCCTCCCCCTCATCCTCCTCCTCCTCGTTCTCCTACTCATCCTCCTCCTCCTCCTCCTCCTCCTCCTCCTCCTCCTCCTCCTCTTCCTCCTCCTCCTCTGGTTCCGCTGGTTCCTCAGTGGCGTAGTCCGCTCTGCAAACTGCGCCCGCCGACTTAAAGCAGGATCCGCATCGAGGCCAGAGAAGCCACGCCGTACACCTCGGGGCCCGACCAAAGTTTAAAAGCCGCCCCTACTCCTCCTCCTCCTCCTCCTCCTCCTCCTCCTCCTCCTCCTCCTCCTCCTCCTCCTCCTCCTGCTATTCCCCCTCCTGCTATTCCTCCTCCATTCCGTTACCTCGTCAAACAACTCCTCCCTGTCGCACCCCGAGGCCAGTTGGAAGGGCCGGCCAGGAGTTTCGCCTGAGACTTCCCTACCGCTGATGATCCTGAATTCAAAACATTGGCAACAGCTTCATCGATGGAGGGCGGGTCGCTTCCAAAATGTAGCTCTCGCTTTAGCACCGCGCACATCCGCCTTAACAAATTGCAGGAGCTTCCCAGCTTGAGGGCGGGTCGTTTTCAAAATGTGGCTCTCGCCTGATCGCCGCGCACATTCGTCTCAAAAAACTGCGACACTGTCACGGATGGAAAGCAAGTCGTTGTCAAGATGGTGTGTTCGCCTTAGCGCCGCTCACATTCGTCTTGAAAAATACAATGTGCACGTATAAAAGGCGGCTCCATTTCGGAATGTGGCTCTCGCCTTAGCACCGCGCGCACTGATTTTGAACATGTGCAAAGGCTTCCGGGATTCGCATGGTTATAATACCAGACTCGGCGTCTTGGAAGGATTCAAGACTGTCAGGGCGCAACAGTTACGTCGATTCGCGGTGCTGAAGTCCCAGGAATAATGTTTTGGCACGGTTCAGGAACGTCATGAGCAACAATACAGTTAATTCATGGCGTTGAAGTCCGGAGAATTTGGCAGGCTTCAGGATCCTCGAACGGTTCTCTCCCAACGGGCCACTTCCCTCAGTGGAGGTGAACCCGTGTAGGGGCCTATGAAGAGGGAGCTTGGATCGAGGATTTATTCCAACGTCGTTGATCAAGCTTGGGCTTACACTCGTCCGCCTCCTCTTCCTCCTCCTGCGGTCGCTGTCGACTTCGGAATTCGAACCGAACGCCACGATCTTCTCGGGCCCCTCCCCCGCGGTGGCACCACGGGCCCTCCGACCGTGACCGCACGGTTTGCTCCTCCCCCCCCGTTCCCTCCCCCCCACACCCCGTCCTCCCCCCGGTCTTTCTTCCCCCCCCCTTTGCCATCGCTCGGACGCCCCTCCCCCGTGCAGCTGTCGCCTCCGCGCGTGCCTGCGTGTTCTGCCAGGTGGTCGAAGATGCCCCTCGATGGTCCTCGCCACACGTCCGAGCAAGCCACCCCTTCCCCCCCCCCCCGCCCCACCAATACCCGACAGGAGTCACACCTTCCCTCGCCCCGGATCCTGCGCGAGCGGGGAGTCGCCTCTCGAACACACGACTCCTCCCCTGCGCACAGGGGACTTCCGGAGATGCCTGCGCCTGCTCGATTCGATGACGCCTGCCTTCTTTACCCAGCTGGTTCCCACTGCGGCGTTGGCCTCGCGGGAGGATCGGTGCTTTGCCCCCGTCGTTCAGAATCGCGCCCTCGCCCCAGCGTGGGCCATGCTTGCTGGATCCGACCGAGCTCTTCCTCGTCGTCGTCGCCCCCTGTCTGCTTTCCCCTCCTCCGCCTTGCCCTGGTCCTCCTGCTCCCCCGCCTCCTCCCACTCCTGCTCAGGCTGCTGTTCCTATTCCTCCTCCTCGTGCTCCTCCTCCCTCCTCATCCCCCTCTTCTTCCTGCTCATGCTCTCCTGGTCATCGGCCATACCCTCCTCCTCCCTCCATCTCCTCCAGGGCACACCACGATTCCCCCGGTCTGCCTGCCCGCAGCACGATGGGGTCATGTGGGGAGCTCCTTGCCCGCTACGACACCCGTCGGCGGACGGAGACCCCAACCCTCCCCCCTCTCCCCCCTTTCCTGGGGGGGGTCGGATGGTCCTGGATGAACGGTCACCCTCCCGCCCGACCTCGCCCTGCTTTCGGAGCACGGCGAGTTGAGACAACAGCAGCTCAAGATCGGTCCCCGAGCCCCTCTGGGGCCCGAACGCACCCGCTTCCCAAGCTGCGCCCAGCCGTGGCGTCGAGGGAGGCCAACGACCGCTGTCACGACTCGCCATCCTGGGAGCGTTTTGATTTTTCGCGATAGCGGCCGCTTCCTGCCCCGGCCGCCCCCCCGTCCGTTCCCTCGGGTAACGTCACGATTCGTCTTGACGTTCGAGCTGTCTCTGGTTATTCCTAAGACATTCCCAAGGACGTCGCTGGCGCGAAACGTGACGTGACCTGCCCTGCCCTGTTCCCCCCTGCCCCGCCCTGTCCCTCCCCCCCCTCCCCCCGGGCAACGCCCGCAAACGCCTGGGAACAAAAAGAAGCTCTCCCCATCTGATCCTCCCCCACCCCCCAGCATCATCTTGCAGAGTCACCAAGCTCCCCCCGGGGCGCACGGGTCATCGCGCTCCGCGCACCGCGGCTTGGGTCAGCGGAGGGGCGCCCTGCTCCCAAGGGTGGGCCCCGCGATGGCGCGAAGCCGACCGCCCGTCGCGCCTCGGGGGGCGCGGTGCGCGAAACTGGGGGGCGGTAGCTCGAAGACGCCTCCCCCCGGGCCCTCCAGGCGCGCGCGGTGGCCCGAGTCATCCTCGGCCGCGCCCTTCCGCGCGGGCCGCCTACGTCATCCTCACCACCCGCCCGCCGAACGCGTCGGCGCACGGCGGGCCCGCGGCGGGCGGGGCACCGCGCAGGGCCCGACCCGGCCCCGCGCTGGTGCTGCGCACGGCGCGCTCCTCGGGGCGACTCGTCGGGGGCGACGGCGACGACGACGGCGACAACGACGGCGACGGAACCCAGGCGCCAGACGCCGGACGACGGCGATACGACAGACGACGGACGACGACGGCCGACGACGGACGACGACGACGACGACGGACGACGACGACGACGACGACGACGACGACGACGACGACGACGACGACGACGACGACGACGACGGACGACGACGGACGACGACGACGACGACGACGACGGACGACGACGACGACGACGACGACGACGACGACGACGACGACGACGACGACGACGACGACGGACGACGACGACGACGACGACGACGACGACGACGACGACGACGACGACGACGACGACGACGACGACGACGACGACGACGACGACGACGACGACGACGACGACGACGACGACGACGACGACGACGACGACGACGACGACGACGACGACGACGACGACGACGACGACGACGACGACGACGACGACGCGCGCGGCGGCGGCGGCGGCGGCGGCGGCGGCGGCGGCGGCGGCGGCGGCGGCAGCGGGGCATGCTCCTCGGGGCGGCGCCACTCCGAAGAGGAGCTCCTGGACGAGCTCCACTGGTGCCCCTGCTTCAACCGCTCGAGCCCCGCCGAAGCGGCCCGCGGCAGCCCAGGGCGGTCCGCCGACGCCTCGCCGGCCGAGCGCCTGGCGTGCGGGGGCGGGCCCGCCAGCTCCTTCAGGGCCAGCCTTGGGGAAGGCGCCCGCCTAAAATGGTATGGTTTGCAACCCGCACCTTGGAGGGCGGGCGAGGACCTCGACCGAGCTCTCCGCCGCGCCCCGAGGTGGCCCGACGAGGGCAGCGTGGTGCCCCCCAAGCCCAAGCGACGCAGATCGCAAGCCACACCCCGGCGTAGCCACACAAGGTGTAGTCGGCAAACCGATCCTCGCCAGGCCCACCCTGGGCCCAGGATCGGTATGGACGCCCCCTGGTTAGGCAGAGAAGGCGCGTGCACTGGTCCTGGACCGACGGGCCTGGACAGGGACGGTGCTGGCGCGTGCGTGTGTGTGTGTGTGTGTGCGTGTGTGCGGTGTGTGTGTGTGTGTGTGCGGCGTCCCCCGAGGCCTGGTGTGCTTCTGCATCTTGAGGCCGATGTAGCGCTGCCGGAACTCCGCCAGGGAGGCCTCGGGCGGCAGGGAGGGAGGGAGGAGAAGAGAGGATGGGCAGGGAGAGGAGGGAGGAGGGAGGAGGAGAGCCCCAGACTGCCGAATCCAGGCCCACGGTGGCCCAACAGAGCACCGAGGTGCCGACCAGACTGCCCAAGAGGGCCGCGGGAGGCGCACGAGGCATCAAAGACGACAAAAGACGCACCACAAGAGGCCCCGAGGGAAGGTGCCCTCCTCGAGGAGCATCGGGCCCTCGAAGCGTGTGGGCTACCCAGCCGCACCTCCAAAAACGGCCCAAGACGGTCCCGGGAGGGGCCCGAGGACCGCCCGAGGAGGGCCTCCGGAGGGGCCCACAGCGCGGGCCGGGAAGCCACCGAGGAGTCCCCCAAACGGCTCCCAGGATGGCGCCGAGACGGCCGCAGAGAGCCTTCAGAGACGGTCGGAAGGAGCACGTCAGCACCATTTCGGGTTGAGCTGCGAATCGGATGGCACTGCCGCTCCCCCGAGCCCCCGACTTTCATATTGATAGTTTTGACATTTCCCGGGCCCCTTCGAGAAAATAAATATGCATCCCATTTCAGCGTGCGCGTCCGCTCTCAATGTTCAGGTCGGGGGCGGAGGGGTCGTATCATCAGTTGTCGTGCCGCCCAGGTGGTGCAAACTTGTTTCTTTCAACCGTAGCCCCAGTATGTTCTAAGACCGCCCCTCGACACCTGCAGGGCACCCTGAGAGCCTCCAGGCAGCCCAAGAAAGCTCCCACGAGGCGACGACTCGCTGCAAAATATGTCCCTGCACCTGCCTCTTCTGTTTGTTGTTGATGCTCTCTCTCTTTCCCGCTCTCCCTCTCTCTCCTTCTCTCTCTCTTTCTCTATTCCTGTTCTGATACTTTTAATACCTGGACCCCCCCCTGTCGTGACCCCAGGGGCCACCTGGGCGCCCTTGCAGGAGGATCCCCTGGCTTTCCGGAGGCTCCTGGAAGCCCTTGCTGGGCCTAGGCAACAGGCCCAAATCGGTCAGGAGGGCGGCCGAAAGGCCCCCCGAGGGCCCGCGAGAGGCCCCAGACGCCCACAGGCGCCCGAAGACGACCCAAAGAAGACCCCCAAGAGGCTTTCGAAACGCAGAGAAACATTGATTTTCCATGGTTGTTGTATGATTTGGGGAATGTTTTGTTCTCCGTTCTTCCGGGCGTCCGAGACCGCCCAGGACGACCGAAGATCGCCCCAAAACTATCCGAGAGGGCTTCCAGGCAGTCCAAGAGAGCCCCAAGACGGCACGACAGGCTTCCAAGATGGCCAGAAAAAGAACCACAAGACGGCCCAAGATGGCCCCAAGACGCCCCCCGAAGCATTCCACATCGTGACGCGGTCGTTCAGGGAGCCCGCGAATGGAAGCAGGGTGGCCCGAGGAAGCCCCCAGAGGCCCCCAGAAAGCGCCCAGGAGGCGTCCAGAGGGCCCCAAGAATCATGTTTTTAAACTGCCGTGAGGCCCCCGAGAAGCTCTCCAAGGAGAAGCCTCCGCAAAACGAGCTGAGGAGGATGTGGAAAGATTCGAAGGGTAGGGCGAATAGGAGGAAAAGAAAGAGAGACATGAGGGAAGGATAATCAATAACATCGGTATAACGGCGTTGTCGGAAAAGGCAACCAAAAGTTGTCGCTATATCGTCTGCGTTGTCTTCCTGCCATTCCGCCTGCACGCCGAACTTCAAGGACCAAGGTGCACGGGGCGAAGCGCCAATGCAGTCTTGCAGGTGTACACATATCCCTCTCTCCCTCCATCCATCCATCCGCCCCCCTTCCCCCAGTCTCCTTCTCCCCCTTCTCCCTCCCTCCTCCTACTCCTCCTCCTCCTCCTCCTCCTCCTCCTCCTCCTCCTCCTCCTCCTCCTCCTCCTCCTGCTCGTCCTCCTCATCCTCATCTTCTCCTCCCCTGATCCTGCTCCTTCCGTTGCTCCGCCAGCGCCCGCAGGGGCCAACCGCACCTCAAAAGGCATCGCGGCGGAGAAGGCGCGACGGCCCGTCCCGACCTAGGCAAGAGACGGGTGGCGCCATAGAGACACGGAACGCCACGCAGGCCACGTAGCGCGACAGCAGGCCGCTGTAGCCGCCAAGCCGCTGCACTGCAAGTCGCCAATCCGTCGCGCCTGCGCCACACCGCAGTCGGAACATCCGAGGCATCACGTTGTCGGCGGTCGGGGGGCAGCAACATTGGTGTGCGACAGGCGCGCACGCGCACGCCTGCTTTGGGAGCCCTGCGCCTCCCTTCCGCTGCGGCGCGCCTCCTGCCCCGCCCCGTCCGTCTACATCTACTCGTTGCCCCAATGCTACTTCATACTCCCCACTCCCCCCTCCTCGCGTTCCTCGTTAGTGCCTTCCTCATCCTGCTGTTGTTTCTGCTGCTCCTCTTCCTCTTCCTCCTGCTCATCCTCCTCCCCCCATCATCACCATCAACATCATCAGCAACAACAGCATCATCACCACCATCATCACCACCATCATACCCTGTCCTGCAGCATCTGTGCGCACCCGCCTCGTCCATTGTGCCCGGGGCGTCGAGTGCCTCCTGCAAGACGGTCTCGGCCTCTGCCTGCGACGGAGCCCCCAGCGCGGTCGCGTAAGCTCGCTCGCGCTTCTACTGAGAACCCTCCCCACGCCTGCTGCTCCTGTTGCTGTTGCTCCTCATCATCATTATCGCGTCCCTCCTCCTCATCCTCCTCCTCGTCCTCCTACTCCTCCTCCTCCTCCTCCTCCTCCTCCTCCTCCTCCTCCTCCTCCTCCTCCTCCTCCTCCTCCTCCTCCTCCTCCGCATCATCATCATCATCATCATCATCATCATCATCATCATCATCATCATCATCATCATCATCATCATCATCATCATCTTCTTCATCAGCATCATCATCATCATCATCATCATCACCACCACCACCACCAGCATCATCATCATCATCATCAACAGCATCAGCATCACCGTCATCATCTTCTTCATCATCATTATCAGTATCATCATCATCATCATCATCATCATCATCATCATCATCATCATCATCATCATCATCATCATCATCATCATCTTCATCCGCATCATCATTTCCATCATATCCATCGTCGTCAACATCGTCATCATCATCTTCAGCATCTTCATCATCATCATCATCATATCAATAATCAGCAGCATCGTGAACATCATCATCATCAGCAGCAGCATCATCATCATCATCATCATCAGCATCAGCAGCATCATCATCATCATCATCATCATCATCATCATCATCATCATCATCAGTATCGTCGTCGTCTTCGTCATCGTCACCGTCGTTTTGCTTGGTCGCCGTCGCCGCCGTCGTCGTCGCCGTCATCATCATCATCATCACCACCACCACCACAAACGGCATCATCATCAGCATCATCAGCAGCAACAGCAGAAGTATCATCGTGATAATCAAAGTCGTCATCGTGATCATCATCATCATCAGCAGCAGCAGCAGCATGATCACCACCACCAACTGCATCATCATCATCATCATCATCATCATCATCATCATCATCATCATCATCAGAGTCAGCATCATCACCATCATCATCAGCAAAATCATCATCAGCATCATCATCGTCGTCATCATCGTCATCATCATCATCTTCAGCATCGTCATCATCGGTATCATAATCTGCATCATCATTGCCAGCGTCATCATCATCGTCAGCAGCAGCATCAACATCATCACCATCGTAAGCAGAATCAACATCAACATTAGCATCTGCATCAGCATCACCATCATCATCTACATCCTCATCATCATAGTCATCATCACCATCGCCATCGGCATCGTCATTGTCAGCATCGTAACCATCATCACCATAAACAACATCATCGTAGTCATCATCACCACCACCAAAATCATCAGCATTGTCAACATCATCATTAACAGCATCATCATCCTCATCATCATCAGCAGCATCAGCATCAGCATCATCACGATCATCATCAGCACCATCATATACCATCATCACCATCATCGTTATCATAATCAGCAGCTTCAGCCATCATCATCACGATCATCATCAGCATCATCAGCAGCATCATCATCACCATCAGCATCATCATCATCCTCATCATCGGCATCATCATCATCACTATCATGATCAGCAGCATCATCACCACCATCCGCATCATCATCAGCATCATCATCGTCGTCCTCATCATCATCAGCAGCAGCATCATCATCATCCCCACGCCCCCTCTTCATTCTGTGCATGCCACCCCTGCTCAGCCGCATGCGGAGAGCACCCCTTCCCTCGTCCACATCCCTCCCCTCCCTGCCCACTCTTCCCTCGTGCGATTTGGAACGAGGGGGACGGGGCCGAAAAAACAGGCCTTCGATCCCGAGGCCTCCCTCGGGACTGGCGTGTCATCCCAAGCCGCCTTCTAGAATTTAGAGTCCCGAAACGGTGCCGTTGACCGTACGGTGACCTCGAAATCCCCCAAGACCTCACCGCACGGTCCGTCACAGTACGGTGTTGGGACTCTGGAGGCCCCTGTCGCCCGAGACGTCCTCGGAGAATGACCCGAGTCCCAAAACCGTGCAGTGACCCCGAATCCCCACCGACTCACCACACGACACACCACACGGTGTGGTCACCACCCCGTTTGGGGGCCCCCGAAAGCAGGCCGAGAGTAGGCAGGCCCGGGAGTGGGCCGAGAGCCTGAGGACCCCTTTCGGGGGACGTCCACTGTCCACCTCACCTAATCTGGCCAGGCCGATCCTTGGCCCAAGAGGCTGGGCAGCGCCCAGGAGGAAAAGGGGGAGGGGGAGGGGGAAGGGGGGGAGGAGGAAGAGAAGGAGAAGGAGAAGGCGGAGGGGGAGGGGGAGGGGAAGGAGGAGGAGGAGGAGGAGAAGGAGGAGGAGGAGGAAGAGGAGGAGGACGAGGGTGAGGAGGAGGAGGAAGAGGAGGAGGAGGAGCAGGAGGAGGAAGAGGAGGAGCAGGAGGAGGGGGAGGAGAAGGAGGAGGAGGAGGAGGAGAAGAAGGAGGAGGAGGAGGGAGGAAAAGGAGAAGGAGGAGGAGGAGGAAGAGCATTAGGAGGAGGAGGGAGGAGGAGGAGGAGGAGCCAGAGGAGGAAGAGGACGAGGAGGAGCAGGAGGAGGAGGAAGTGTGAACGTTCCGTAGATGATCTTGCACGGCTGTCTTTTCCCAGGTGCCGAGACTGCTGCAAAGCGTTTGCGCCATTGGTTTATTGGGATTCTTTTGTTTTCGATCCAGAGGAGTCCCAGCAGATCGTCGTGGCTTGCGTGGTTCAACTTGTCTTACAAATCGCTTTGTTTGTCGTTGGGAGGACCGAAGAATTTCGATATGTATCAGAATGCCGTGTTGGCTTCTTCTGGCAAAGAATCTGAGATGGTGGAAAAATCGATGGAACCCTTCACAGGGAGCACGAGCACGAGCACGCCCGCACATGGGGCACCGTCTAGGGTGCTGCGGGTGCGGCGCCGGGGCGCCAGAGTGACGTGAAAAACCTGAGGCCCGACCGGATGTCTTGGTCGATATTGATTATCATCCATCTTGCCCTTGAAGCTGAAGATCCTGCCCTTGAGGCTGGAGGCCGACTGGCGGGGGTCGAAAGCTGCAGGTGGAAGACCAGATGTCGGTAGCTGGTGGCGAATGTTGTGAATCGGAAGCTGGAGATTGGACGTCGACCATGTGAGGTGGGAGGTCAATAGATGGAGGTCGAAAGCTAGAGCTGGAAGGTTGGATGCCGTCAGCTGTTGGTTGATGGTGGGAGACGGAAGCTGGAAGCTTGAAGTCGGTCAGGTGAGATGAAAAGTCGATAGGTGGAGGTCGACAGTTTTGGGGTGGAAGATTGCGAGTCGACAACTGATGGTGGACGGTGGGAGTCGGGAGCTGGGAGCTGGAAGTCGGTCAGGTGAAGCTGGGAGTCGACAGGTGGAGGTCGAAGGTGAATTGGAAAACTGGGCAGCGATAGCTGAAAGTGGATTGTGGGAGTCGGGAGCAGACGCGTTTAGGGCATCGTGCAGAGCTCTGTGGGCGATTGGGTAGATGGCATGGCATGGTGGATTGGCACTTGAACTGAATGATGCCTGTAATGTGCGACATGCTCCTGTACCTCCAGGCCGGACTCACCTTCAACCACATCCGCCGGCCGTGGTGGTCTGTTCCACCCTCATTTTTGGGCCGAACGCACGCCATTGTTCGCTCAGTCTTCTCTTTGGTGCGGTTGACATCTTCGACCTCACAGTTGACTGCTGCGGACCAGATGGAGGCCCAGAGGCTTAGCACCTCGCCAGGAATCTGCCGAAGCTGTCACTGCCAATGAGCCTGGCTTGATAGGGAATAGGCGCCTAGATGGCCACGTGGCGCCTGCCGCAACAACCAGGAGGAGAAGGAGGAGGACGAGGAGGAGAAGGAGGAGGAGTTGGACGAAGAGGAGGAGGAGGAGGAGAATGAGAAGGAGGAGGAGGTGAAGGAGGACTTGGAGGAGGAATTGGGGAAGGAAGGGGAAGATCCATATCTTCTCACGGCTCAGCCCCATCTGGACATCTTGGGATGTTCGGGGGGCCTCGCAGGGCCTCGGAGAGCATCTGGGGACTTCTGGGGGGGGGGATCTCCGGAAACCCCTGGAGACTCTTCAAAGGGGGCGCCCGCGCATCCCCAGTGGAGTGGAGGCCAGTCCACAAGAAACCTTCCACGAGAAACCCCACGCTGAGACACCAGGACGTCCACTGATTTGCGGCGTGGGGGCGTGATGCTTTCCATCGCAATAAACATCGGAACCCGAAGAAACCCAGGGCACCCTGGAGGCAAGCAGGGGTGTTTCTTGGCAGGGGTCTCCACTGTAGAGCTCGCAGTACAAAAACGACAGACGCATCGAGACCTCGCTCGACAGCGATGCGACGGGCGGGCCCCGCCGCGGCCGCTCGGCCCGAAGAAGGAAGCGCCGCCGAACGGCGCGCGACAGATCCGAGTGGCGACAGCGAGCACAGCACGACCCGCAAAGCGCTGTGCGCAGAGCGTCATCGGCAGAGACCTTCAGGGAAGTCTGAAGAGGAGGAGGCGGAGGACGCAGCCGTGAACTTTCGACGGCAGCTCTTTACAAAAACTGTCGCTCTGCCACGGCCCCCGAAACAGCAGGACAGGCGCTCCGCGGGAGCTTCTCTTGCCCTGGTCCGTACACCTGAACCTCCTCCTCCAACTCCTCCTCCAACTCCTCCTCCTCCCTCCTCCTCCTCTGCCCCCGCATCCTCCCCTCCTCCTCCCCTCCCAGCCCTGATCTTCGAAGGGCCGCGGTCGTGACAGGTATACGTTTCGTTCCCCGTTGCCCTAGCCCCTCGTCCCTTATCTTATCCTCTTCCTCCTCCTCATCCTACTCCTTCTCCTCCTCCTCCTCCTCCTCCTCCTCCTTCCTCCCTTCCTACCCCCCCCTCCTTCTCCTCCTCCTCCTCCTCCTGCTGCTGCTCCTCCTCCGCCTCCTAATCATCACCACCATCATCATCATCATCAGCAGCAGCAGCAGCAACAGCATCGACATCATCATCATCATCATCATCAGCAGCAGCAGCAGCATCATCAGCATCATCAGCAGCAGCATCATCAGCAGCCTCAGCATCATAAGCATCATCCTGATCATCATCATCATCATCAGCAGCAGCAGCATCATCATTATCAGCAGCATCATCAGCAGCACCACCATCATCGTCAGCATCAGCATTAACATCATCATCCGCAGCAGCCGCCGCATCATCATCATCAGCAGCAGCAGCATCATCATCAGCATCATCCTCAACATCATCATCATCATCAATAACAGCACCATCGTTCTCATCAGCAGCACCATCATCTTCATCATCAGCAGCATCAGCATCGTCATCAGCATCTTCATGTTCAGCATCATCAGCAGCAGCATCGGCAGCAGCATCATCAACACCATCGTCATCGTTATCGTCATCGTCATCAACATCAGCATCATCAGCATCAGCATCATCATCAGCGTCAGCATCAGCATCATCATCATCATCATCATCTTAATCAGCATATTCCTCCTCAGCCTCATCCTCATCATCATCATCATCATCATCATCATCATCCTCATCAACAGCATCATCATCAGCAGCATCATCAGCATCATCGTGATGAGCATCGTCATCAGCATCATCAGCAGCAGCATCCTCAGCATCATCATCAGCATCAGCATCTTCATCATTATCAGCAGCATCATCATCATCAGCATCATCATCAGCATCATCATCAGCATCATCATCGTGATCATCATCGTCATCAGCATCATCAGCAGCAGCATCCTCAGCATCATCGTCATCTACAACATCAACCCCAACATCATCATCGTCACCCGCTCCTCCTGCTTCTCCTTTTCTTCTCCTTCTCCTCCTCCTTTTCCTCCTCTTCCCTCTTCCTCATCTTCCCTGCTCCCTCCTCATCTTCCCTGCTCTTCCCTCTTCCTCATCTTCCTCTTCCCTCTTCCTCATCTTCCCTCCTCCCTCGTCTTCCCTCCTCTGCTCTCCTCCCTCGTCCTCCTCATCTTCCACCTTCCCCTCCTCGTCGTCCTCCTCCCCTCTTCCTCCTCCTCCTCCTCCTCCTCCTCCTCCTCCTCATCCTACGGTACCACTAGCCCCAATTATGAGCCACCCGCTCCTCCTGCTTCTCCTCCTCTTCTCCTTTTACCCCTCCTTCTCATCCTTTTCCCTCTTCCTCATCTTCCATTCTCCCTCGTCTTCCCTTCTCCCGCGTCCTCCTCATCCTCCGCCTTCCTCTCCTCGTCGTCCTCCACTCCTCTTCCTCATCCTCCTCCTCCTCCTCCTACGACTACTACTACTACTACTACTACTACTACTACTACTGCTACCAGCCCTAATTCTGATCCACCTCTCTATTCCTACTCCTCCTCCACCTCTCTCTCTCTCTCTCTCTCCCTTTCTCTTTCTACCTCGATCTCTCGCTCTCTCTCTCTCTCTCTCTCTCTATATATATATATCCCTCACAACTCAGTGGATAAGTCGATCGAAGCTAACAACGCCTGCAACTCGAGGCTACACAACAACTACTACACCTTGCTCGTTGCTACAACGACAAACTGGCGAGAGAGCCTGCGGGGATGATGACGGCCGGGATCTCCCTCCCAGGAGGCCCAGAGTCGACGGGCTTGCATACCCCAGAAACTACCCTTCGTCCTCCTCATGTTCATTCTCCCTCTGCTCCTTCCCCCCTCCCTGAGCCCTGCTCTTCTCGGGGTCACCCGGGCGCTGGCGCCGACGCCTCCGCTCGCTGAGCCCGCGCCGTGAAGATCGTCTCGAGGCGGTCGGACGTGCGCTGCTTGACGATATCGGCCTTCGCCGCGCGGCATCGGGGCGCAAGGCGGGGAGGGGAGAGGGGAGGGGGGAGGGAGAGAAAAAAAAGGGAGGAGGGGAGGAGGGAGGGAGAGAAAAAAGGGCGGGAGACGCGCTGATGAGAGAGCGGCAGAGAGAGATCCAAAGAGAGAGAGAGAGAGAGAGAGGAGACGGGGCGAGGGAGGGGAGACAGGACGAGGAGGAGCGGCGGAGAAAGGAGGGACGGGAGGTGAATGGAAGAGGAAGGAGATGAGGAGGAAGAGGGGGAACCGGAACCGGGAGGAAGAGAGCGGGAGGGGAGAAGGGAAGGAGAGAGGGGGTACTCGGTCGATGTATCATCGCGCTCCTTATCGTATCAATCCTCGTCAGCGTCTTCCTCCGCTTCCTCGTCCTCCTCCTCATCCTCCTCATCCTCCTTCTCTTCGCACGCTTTCCTCTTTCTTTCTCTCTTTTACGGTGACATTTGCCTTCACCTTGAAACGACAAAGGGTGAATAGGAAAAAAAACCTGCGAGTAGCAGCGTCTCGTTGGCGACAGTGGCACCAGGGACTGCGAATGACGATTGCTGATTGGCTTGCAGATACCATTCAACCTCGCCCCCTGCCAGTGCGCTGCCAAGCGTACACATGTTGACACACTCCTGCGCCCGGGGGGAGATCCAACGGAGCAGAGTCTTCAGCAAATTAAACTGTGGCCTCTCCCTCTTGTGCGCTGCCAAACATGAAATTGGTGACTCTCTTGTGTCTCCAATCGACTGCGCATGGGCTTGGTACGTGCCAGGACACTTGCACACGAACCTCAGCAATGCGTATGTACGTGCGTATGGGTAATAGCGTACGTTGGCATGCGTGTGGATGCTGGAATGCGTGTACACGCCCAAGTAAATACGTAAATTCGGCAGTGGACAACCCTCCCTTTAATAAACCACCCCTTCATGAACCCGGCCTAAGACCGAAACCGACGGACCTGGACCCACAAACGTAACGACCATGACGCCCTCTCGCGAACCGAAAACGACCAATTCACGAATCGACGTGTCAGGGTAGGAGGTCTGTCAAACTCCGATATATGGGCACGCCTGTGTGCTCGCTTGTATGTAGATGTATTTCGTGCAAAGTGCACATGGGAACGTAAGTGCGTGCAACTGTGTTTACGCGACGTTGCGCGTGCATGATTACACATACATGCACATGCGCACATTTAGAAATGCGTGTACACGTGAAGATGTGTGCCCTCGCGCAACTGCTAAATATGCGACAAAAGCAAGTCATGATCATGAAAGAGGCATGCACACGTACGGCATCCGCATACGCTCTGCGTAACCGGCTTGCGAAGTCAGATGCAAAACGTAACATTGCATCCACGACAGCAAAAAAGCTGTCCATCCCCCCCCCAACAGTCAATACGAATCCTGCCCACGATAACCGCGGAAAAACCGTTTCAAAACAAGCTGGCCGTCTGCATGGCGATTTCCGGAAACCCTGAATCCAAAAATGTCATATCTTTTGAAAGCATATCTTTCATTTCGCCTATTTCCGCTGGCCTTCCGCCGGCTTCTGCCGGCGAAGGCGGCCTCGCTCTACTTCCGCAGCCATCCGCCGCCCTTCCACCGCCTTCCGCCGAGGAAGGGAGGTCACCCTCTCGATCCCTCGAAGACGAAACCCTTCGTGGGACGCCTCACATGGCAAGAAGATCCAGTGCGAGAGGCCAACGAACAGAGGAGCTGCGGGCATCTTCGGCGTGCCCCGTGGGACGCACAAGGACATACTAACTAGTGCTATGTGCCCTCCTTGGAGGCGTGCGTCCGACCCGAACATATAATACAACCACTTGCTGTACATCGTTTCCCGAGCGGTACGGCCGGAAGCGCCCGCCACGAAGCTTGTCCTACAAGATTTCTCGGCGCGCGCGTCGCCCAATTGGGTGCGACGAACACATGGTATTAGTATGGCTGGGTGGCGTCAGTCCTCCGCGCAGCGTGCAGCTGCGCCCACCCCCACGGAGCAGCGCGCGGCCTTCCTGCTCAACAGTGCTGCCGCCGCCTGCGAGCGGCACTCCCTGGCACGGCTCGCGGGCGAAGAGCGCACGGGTACGGTCGGGAACTTCTGCGCAATGTGTGTCGCCACGGCGGCCCAGGCGACACGCCGTGCCCCGGAGCGGATACCGTGCCGCTCCGCTCCGCGCGGCGGGAGGCCGGGAGCAGCTCCGCACTCTGTCGCTTAGAACTGGGGAGACGGATGGAGCATCGCGCCGGAGAGGTGGGCCAGGACCGGCGGCGCGACACGCTGTCCAAGAGTTCTTGACCATGGATCGGATAAGAAGGAGCAGCAGAAGTAGGGCTAGCAGGAGAATCGGCTGCGGCGTCGGCGCTTATCCCGACCAGAAAAAATCAGAGGAGGGCGACGATAGGGTGGACGGGAAGACGATGTGAAAAAACTATGAGGGGAATCAAGGAAAGGACGCATATATATATATATATATATATATATATATATATATATATGTATATATACACACATAAGACTGCGTTGGCACTTCGCGCCATTCACCTTGGTCCTTCAAGTTTGGTGTGCAGGCGGAATGGCACGAAGGTAAAACTGACAATTTAGCAATAACTCCTTGTTGCCTTTTTCCAGCATCACCGTTATTATAATGTTATTCGTTTTCCTTCCTCAATATTTATTTTTCCTCATTCTCGCCCTACCCTGCAAATTCTTTCCCATCCTCCTCAGCTCTTTTTGCGGAGGCTCCTCCTTGGAGAGCCTCTGGGGGCCTCACGGAAGTTGTTCAGGCTTTCTTGAGGCCTTCTGGAGGCCTCCTGGGCGTCTTCTGGGGGCCTCTGAGGGCTTCCTCGGGCCACCCTGCCTCCAACCGCAGTCTCCCTGAACGTTCGGGTCACGATTTGAAATGATTCGGAAGGCGTCTTGGGGCCATCTTGGGCCGTCATGGGGCTCTCTTGGGCCATCTTGGAACCGTGTTGTGCCGTCTTGGAGCTCTCTTGGACTGCCTGGAAGCCCTTTCAG